AAAAAAAAAAAAGGAGAGAATGTGATCAGGCAGGAGACTAGAACAAAGCCATATGCTAGAGACTTAGGTTATATTTTGGTCTGTTAGAAGAAACTGTATCCCCAAATTTTAAAGAGACAACTACATATATATATATATACCAAAAATAAGGTTAACTAATATGAAGGGATAGAATATGAGTCTAAAAATGAAAAATAAAGATTGTTAAAAAAGGGATTGATAAGATGTTGGTTGAAAAAGGGAAAAATTAAAAAAAAATAGGAAAAGAAAATTTAAAAAATTAACTTTGAAAGACTAAAAAATCAGGGGGAAAAAAGTCATGAATTCTATGTACTGCATTCCCCTAGTACTGGAGTTCTGGACCTAAGACTTATTTTTAATAAAATTCTGCAACATCAAGTCAAAGTCACTTCTACATTGACATCATGATAATCTCTGCACTTTTAAGAATTTTAAGACACTCCCCCTTTTCCTCAGCACCTTAATTTCCTTTAACAAATTGCCTTTGAGACTAATAAGTTCTGTTTTCTGCATTTCTTAAGTAATGCTAAAAATTCATTCTTTCAGTAGGTATTTAGAAATGAACAAAAGTAGATTTTGAAATATGTCTGATATATTTTATACCAGTTTTGAACCAGAATGATACAAGTATTGAATTTTTTTTGCAGGTCTTAGATTTTCATTCTGAAGGAAATTTTAAAAGAGGACTTCTAAAATCATTACAGATACTAAAAAAATCCACTCTAATCTTACAGTAAATTATCTGAAGTAGAAAATTCAGCTTTCTATGTATGTATACAAATATAGAAAATACTATAAAATGTTCTTAAAGATATAATAGTTATGCTATTCTTACACCTATTTTACACTATGAATATATGTTAAATATTGTTAGCACAAAACAAACTATAAATTTGTATTAGTTGCATAATATTAACAACATTCTACAAGAATGACTTGTCTTTATCTTAATTTTTGAGGATTAGAGATGTGGTTAAAAGGAATAAACATTTACATGAGGTCATAAATGAAGTACCATGATTCAGCTCTTATTTTCCTTCTTTATAAATAAAAGGACAAGAATGTATGTGTTTTATATGGCTATGAGTTTTACTGTAACTCCATAGCTTAAACCTGAGAAAAGAAATTCTGGGCTTGGAAATTTAAGACCTTAACCAAGATAACAGTTAGAAACCTGGTTTAGAGAAACCTCATTTTGTCCTTCGGCTTCATGAGCCAAACCAGTAAACTCCAGTTATTGGTTCTATGCCAGCAGAGCTATTGTTAATTAGGGTGAGGGGTCCCAGTGAAATATACCTGGAAAGAGGTACTCCAGGCACTTAGGTGTGTGTCTGCCTTCACTCACAGTTTGCACAATTACATAAAATGTTATGAAATTTATTCTGTGTAAGACCAAAAAAAGGAACAAAAAGTTAGAATCCTTGAGTGATTGAATGGGGCAGCAGAGCTATGCTCTAGGTATAGCCAAAATTTGAGCCTAATCACATAACAGTCAGACCTTATGTTTATTGGCATAACATATGAGAAGCTTAAAATTTGATCAATACGGTAAACCTATGAGCAATGTCTCAAATCACACCCCTAGCTCTTACTGCTCTTTGCTCTCCACACAAGTTAGCATTTTTCTTCAAAAGTATTATTATTTTCTGACCAAAATTATCTAAGTAACTGCCTTAACTTTGCTTTGCTAAGAAGAATTTCACTAATTAATATTTATTAGGGACCTAATGTATGTCCTGATTTTTCTTCATGCTTCCTAATTTTAGAGCTTTGAGGGCAATAACCTAGAAAATGACATCATCACTAATCATATGATCATTTTAAACCAGTATGTGGTTTTAATTACCAAAAAAATCATTCTCTACACTTCTAAATTTTAAGTACTTTTTCAATAATGATCTGAGTTAAGGTATACTTGACATTTGATTATGAAAAGAGACCATTTAAAAGTATAGATTTTACAGTGGCTTATAAAAATAAAAAAGTGACAATATAGTTGCTACAGGGAAATTGTGTGGTGCCTACAAGCCTATTTTTTAGATCACAAAATTACATTTAATATGAATATGCTGTTATCAAATTCATCAGTTACACCACCCAGCAACATACAGCTCAACAACAACCTTTCACTATTTTGCACTGTCTATATATTCATTAACTTGTTAAAATAATCCTCAGCTGTTATGTTTGCTTATTTTTATTATTAACCAAATACAGTCATGGGGCTCATTAAAGGAAAAAAATGAATTGATTTCCTAAGAAAATCACTGAACTTTTTAATGCCAACATGACAATTAAGGCAAAAAATAATTCATACACAATATTTATGCTCCAGAATGCAGGAAGGTGCAGGAAGGTCCTGGAAAAAGCTGACACGCACAACAAAAACATTTGCTACATTTTGTTATTATACTCTTGTAAACATATCCTGTGAAATGTGTAAAAAAAATCTTGTTTGAAAATAGCATTATCCCTGATTCTCATAAATTACTTATATCTGGAAATGAATGTAGTATGACAATGACAATTTCAAAGAAGTGTGTTCAAAACCAATATCAATAACATGTTGTTCAGACAGCTTCTGAAGCACTGTTAGGAAAAACTAATTTTAATTCATTCTCAAAAAAGAAAAAAAATTTGGAAAAAAAAAAAAAAAGCAAGAGGCGCCTGGGTGGCTCAGTCAGTTAAGCATCAGACTCTTGATTTTGGCTCAGGTCATGATCTCAGGATTTTGAGATCAAGACCTACCTTGGACTCTGTGCTGGGCATGGAGCCTGCTTAAGATCCTCTCTCTCCTTCTGTGCCTATCCCACCTCCCACCCCCACCCCCTGCTCACAGGTGCCCTATATAAATAAATAAGAAAAAAAAGGAAAAATGTGTTAGCTTTGTACTTTTACCTTACTCAAAAACAGCTGAAGTTAAAAAAATAAAGTTTCCCCTGAGAAGACATTTGTAAAATGAGTTGGAAAAAAAATGAAAAACAACATAGAAAATGTCAACTACGTTACTAGCCACAGGTATGCTGATGAAGCCTCACACATAATTTTGGTCTGTTTGGAAAAATACATTGCAAGAATTACTTAAAATCAGATCACAGTCAGTTTATATATGGTATATGATTGCTTACATTTCCAGTGATTTCTGCAAACCTTGTTTTCTTAAATTATCTGGACAAATGCTAGCAGGATTTGCATTAAAATTGATTTCTCTGCAACAGATTGATAAAATATTCTAGCACATCCCATTTTCTTCCACTGGACTCAAAGATGAATTTCCTCTAATAATTCGCTTAGCATTAAGAATAAAAAAAAGCTCACAAACTCACTTTAATTTAAATTTGCATTCAGAAAGTGCTTGTCTGATATAATTCAGCTGATAAATATGAACCTATGTGTTTATCAAATCCCTAAGAAGATTATCTAAATCAACTCCGTGTAATTACCATTCACCATCTGTTCCACCAGGGCCTGAGCTGATCTGCTGGCATCTTGCAGTTTTCTGAACTTCTCGGCTTTTTCTCGCTCTATGGCCTGCAGCATGATAGCAAAGGTGAGTATTTCAATACAAAGATTGTGAAGTTACACAGTAATTATAACTTCTACTTGCCCTTTCAAGCCTTAAGATATTTCACTCTGTCAGCTTATCATGTGAATCTAAAGATTTTTTTTCTCAAGTTTCTTGGCACCAGAAGCAACAAAATGACAATGAAAGCACAAACCATTTTCATACTGAATTGCTACTACTTTTAATAAGATTTCTACTCTTTTTTTTTTACACAATACTTTCTGATGTACTGTAATATAGGGCTGCAAAAAAAAGCAAATAAGAAACAATGAAAGTATAAAGTGACAGAGACAGATAATTAAAACTTAAATTTGTCTTTTAAATACACACCACTGAAGTTACTCCTAATATCTTAAGTATGTATTCTGTATTAAAAATCAAATAGAAAATCTTTTAAGTATGTAAAAAGGGAAAAGCACACTAGAATGAATAATTTAGCAAAAAAAACCCATATTTACCTAAAATACAAGACTACAGGTTAATTTTTCTCTCTAAAACTTTCAAAGTACTCCCATTTCAAGGAAAAATAGATTCAATTTCAAAAAGCTTTCTAAATTCTTTTTTCATTTCTCCTAACTTAACTTTTGAGCAACAAAACCACAATGAATTGAATTAACAAAATCTAGCATTTAATACTGTTGGGTTCAGTTAATAATGTCTCTACAGATATATATTACATATACATAAGATATATATTAAACTATGATACAACTGAACTGTATTATCACAACCATTAAAAACATGTGGCTATAACATTGTTATATGTCCTAAAACATAACTACCTGCAGAAAAAGCAAGCTTTAAAGCATTTAACATATAGTTGGAGCAATACTCCTGTGACCCAAAAATAGCATCATACAAAGATTTCACTTGAGTTTGTGACAGGAGGTTATTCCATATCCAACTATATTTTTAAATTTTATTTCGATCTATAGGTCTCCGAACAAATGTTACAGGGTATAATATTGGAGTACAGGTAGGAGGCCTGTAATCGACATGTGCACACTCTGCAGAGAACTGTTCAATAGAACTTTGTGCAAGCATGAAAATATTATAGATCTGTGCTGTCCAATACAGTAGCCATTAGCCACATGTGGGTACTGAGTACTTGAAAGGTAGCAAGTGTGACTGAGGAAACTAATTTTTCATCAATATAATTAAATTTAAATTTAAAAAGCTACCATGTGTCAAGTGCCAACTGTAATTCTACAGTGCAGATCTAGCGCCTTCCTTTTTGAAAGCCAATAAAGACAGACAGACAGAGAGACATGTAGACTAAATACAGATGAAGATACTATGGCAACATCAGAAATACATTGAGAGAAATAAGTAATCATCTTATTGCTAAACTAGACTATTTCCCAAGCACACCAAATTATAGGAATGCTCATACTATAATCCATACATTCTAAAATATTTAAAATGATTCTCCAATTTAAAGAAATAACCACAATTAAAAGGAAGGATTTTAAAATTGATTTAAGACAGAGTTTCATGAACTGGGATTATTGGATTCAGGGTCAAGAATGCAAAGTGCTGGAGGAAAAAGATGGCGGAGGAGTAGGGGACCCTATTCCAACTGGTCCCCGGAATCGAGCTGGATATCTACCAGACCACTCTGAGCACCCACAAAATCAGCCTGAGATGTAAGATGATCTGGATCTCTACAAACAGAATATTGCCGATGGCTGTTTTCGAGGTATGAAGCAGGGAGCCCTGATTCCTCGGACAGACATCTATCAGAGGATAAACGGCAGCGGGAAGGAGCCTGGCCGTGGGGATCCTACGCCGCTGGTGGGCGACAGCCTCGTGCGCTGGGGACGGGGCACATACTCCCAGACCAGTAGTGGCGGGGGAAGGACTTTAGGGCAGACCCCGGGGCGGAAACCCGGAGTCCGGGGGTCGGGGAAAGGACTTTAGGGCAGCCCCCCGGAACAGAAACCCGAAGCGGCGGGGTCGCACATGCAAACTGGGCATAGCTGGTTGTTTTAGAAGCACAAAGGGCAGAGATGTGCCCCGACCTGGAGGCAGGACTGGGTGTACTGCAGAGTGGCACACAACCCAGGACCTTGCTGTTTATAGCAGCATGGACAGAAACAGATAGTGTGGCCTGGAGAGCTCACTGAAGAACAGACTGCGGTCTCTCTGCTCTGAGGCAGAGGGCTGGAAATGGTCTCTTCTGCTCTGACTCGTGGAAAAGACACAGAAAGCCACCAGGGAAAGCGCCAGAGAACAAGAACCACAGAAACTGATTCCCGCTGAGCCCATCCCCCACCACAGGGGGGGGCAGGGCAACTCTGCCCAAACAGGGTTGCCTGAGTAACAGTGTGGCAGGTCCCTCCCCCAGAAGACAGGTCCCTAGAACACAGGTGCATCTTGCTTGGGTTCTGGTCAATAATTTGGACTCTATACATTCGCTCAACCACATATCAACAGAATGACTAGGAGGAGGAACACCCAAAATAGAAAAGACTCAGAGATCATGACTTATGCTGCATATTTACAAATGGATGCGGATATAACCAAGATGTGAGAGATGGAATTCAGGCTAGCAATTGTAAAGACAATGGCTACAATGGAGAAATCAATTAATGGCAACATAGAGTCTCTAAGGGCAGAAATGAAAGCTGAATTGGCAGAGCTTAAAAATGCTATCAATGAGATCCAATCTAATCTAGATAATCTAAAAGCTAAGTTAAGTGAGGCAGAAGAACGAATAAGCAACCTGGAAGACAATATAATAGATAAAAAGGGAAAAGAGGAGGCCAGGGAAAAACAACTCAGAATCCATGAAAATAGAATCAGAGACATAAGTGACACCATGAAGCAATCCAATGTCAAAATTATTGGAACCCCGGAGGGAGTGGAGAGAGAGAGAGGACTAGAAGATGTATTTGAGAAAATCGTAGCTGAGAACTTCCCTAATCTGGGGAATGAAGCAAACATTCGTGTCACAGAGGCAGAGAGGACCCCTCCCAAGATCAAGGAAAACAGGCCAATGCCCCCGCATGTAATAGCAAAACTCGCACATCTTAGAACCAAGGAAACCATCTTAAGGGCAGTTAGCGGGGAGAGATTCCTTACATACAGAGGGAGGAACATCAGAATAACATCAGACCTATCCACAGAGACCTGGCAAGCCAGAAAGGTCTGCAAGACATATTCAGGATACTAAATGAGAAGAACATGCAGCCAAGAATACCTTATCTGGCAAGGCTGTCATTTAGAATGGATGGAGAGATGCAGAGCTTCCATGATCGGCAGAATGGTGGAAGAATAAGTGACCACTAAGCTGGCCCTGCAAGAAATATTAAGGGGGGTTCTATAAAAGGAGAAAGACCCCAAGAGTGATATACAACAGAAATTTACAGGGAC